ACTACTACTACTACTATTATTACAACTACAACAACAACAACTACAACAACAACTACTACTACTCCTCCTCCTCCTCCTGCTGCTGCTGCTGCCGCTGCTTCCACTACCATTGCTGCTTCTAGTTCTGCTTACTACTGCTGTTATCAGTATTATTGCCGTTACTTTGGCTTTTCTCGTTGCTAGTCTTATGCATATGGTCGGCGTCATTATTGTCATCACCACCGCTGTTCCTCTGCTTCTTCTTCCTCTTCTTGATCGTCATCATCATTACTACCATCAGCGGCATCATCGTCATCATCATCCTCGCCGTTGTTATGGTTATAGAATGAAAGTGCTATTATCATTATGTACAGGTTTCATAGTATGAGTACATGGTATGATTATGGCTGCTGGTGGTCTTATTCTGGTGGATGCCATAGTGATGACGATGACTCCAGAATGCCCGTTTGGCGTTGATTATGGTAGCAATGGTTGAGGCGTCGGAGTACGGATTTGTTTTTGGAGGTATCAACCCCTTCTGTCCTCAACCTTATCCCTGAACCACGGTCCTTTGGATGCCCTAGCAGCTGACTGCTCCGTTGGTAGTTGGAAGTGCGTCCCGTCATACGTTGCCAGAGCAACAATCCTTCATGTAAGGGCGCCCCCAGAACCAGCGACCCTCAGGTGTTCTGCTTCTATTGGACCCTCGGTGTCATGCGGACCATGCCAGCCGAAGTGACTCCAGTCAACCTACCGGAGCGGCTCTTCGTGTTGGTCTTCATGTTCTTCGCCCTTTCGGCTTTTGCCGCCCGTCCGAGATAGCATAGCCTTCGGGATTTTTTGATTGAGCGCTAGCCATGTCGGGAGAGCAAGCTCTCTCCGTCTCCGGTATCATTTGCGCTTGTCGAAATCTTCTCAATGTCAACTTGAAGGTCGTTTCTTGCAAGCCTGCACGTACCGAGGCCATCTGCGTGTCGCTCATCACGCAGGCCTTCTTCAAGACCCTTGGCCTGGTCTGCCCGAAACCCAAAAAGCCCACAAAGGGCCCATAAAAGCCCAGAGCATCTAAACACTCATCACCCGCAAGGCTTCCCTCTGCAAAGAGCACAGCCCTGCAACCCCATGCCTGCAAGCAAAGCGCGAGCCTTGAAGGCGCCGAAACAGTCGGGGAGAGTCGGAATCCTACACTGTGCTGCCATAGTCGAGGATTGTTCCAAGCCAAGCTTCCCGCCTCTCAAGGCGTGCTTATCCTTATATAAACACGAATCTGCAATCATCTCTAGTTCAGAGCCCCCGGGCTTCTGAGCGTCGTCTCCCACGGAGTGACTCCCTTTGATGAGGATCTGGGATCGACGTAGGGTGTTCAACGAGGACCTTGCCGGTGATTTTCTGTTGTGTCCATGAAGTTGGGGTGAAATCAGATTCGGCCGTGGGGCCATGTTGCATAGACTAGGGTCTCTGCTTGTGGGTTTGTGGTTTAGGGATGTTTATGGTTGTTGCAAGGCTTTCCAGCCGATCCTCACACTTGACGAAAGGGGTGCGCACCCAGTCATCGTTCCTTGCGCTGGCTGCCTGACGCTCCATTCTAGAGGAGCTAGCCGCGGTCCGCATGCACCTTCAGAAGACGCAAGTGGAGGACATGGTTTGGGTTGCTGGTCGTTTAAGGCTTTTTCAGGCTGTCTTAGGGGGCGCCGACGTTGGGCTTCCATGACGTAACGTCTTAGCTCAGGAGCTCTTAGCTCATGACGCTCATGCCGAGAACGACCATGTTGATGATGATTCGCGCAATGAAGGAGATAAAAGGTTGTTGTGGTGGATTTGAAGAAAAAGATGATGCTGCCGATGCCGTTGCTGTTGCTGTTGCTGTTTTGGTCGTCGTGGTCGTCGTCATCGTCATCGTCGTCGTCGTCGTTGTTTTTGTTGAACGGTCTTGTTCATTGACTTGTCGCGGCCACGAGCATGACACAGGCTTGGCAATCGTCATGGGTGGTTGTCAAAATTATGGNNNNGCACCTATTATTTAGGGTACCCCCCCCATAATTTTGACAACTACCCTCATGAAGAATGCCTCATCGTTCCACGGGAGTTTGAGAGCTTTGGGAGCCGAGGTTCACGAGACGCCCTAAATCATGTAGGGTTTCGGGTTGAGGGTACAGGATTTCGGGTTCAGGCACAACAGCAACATGAATCCGACGATTGCAGGAACATGTATCTTACCGAAGCCCCGGACACTCTGAAAAGGTACAGTAGTCTGGGTGTTTCAGCATGTTGCACAAGACTTACGCCAAGATGAGATGTTTCTTTACGCCCCTTCAGCCGAAGGAAGCCACCCAGTTGAAGGTGAAAGCGTACTTACGGCCAGATGCCTAGACCAGCTGGAATGACCTGGGGTGGCAAACCCTACACACCCCAAGCCCTAAACCCTAAACCCTAAACCCTGAACCCACTCTTCTTTCGTGGACGGAGGCTTTTTGAGGCACAGGACTTCCCGGCCCAAAGATCTGCTTCCAGGGCTCCATGACATGACTCAGCTTGCTGTTGATGGACTTTTTGTGACAACCCTTACTGGGTCCGAATTTCATAATACTAAAGTACCATAACATTATAATACTATAATACTAGAATGCTACAATATAATACCATAAGACTTTAAGACTACAATGCTATCCCCAGCCTCAGCCTCGTATCCTGAGGTACATTTTCGATCGCCGTCGCATTCATGCGAAGGTGCGGCTATCTTTATTGGGCTTAGGGTTTAGGGCTTAGGGTTTAGGGTCTTTCGTATGGATCCTAGTAAGTACTACTTTGTGGGTGTGGAGGTCATGTTGGGGATTTCTTCTTGGTTTCAAGGACGCCTCCGTGTCGTTGCGTCTTGTTGCACCTCGCACGGTCGTGGTCATAGAAGCATGAGTCGTAGTCGACATAGTCGTAGTAGAATCAATCGTTGTCGTCGTAGTACGAGTGAGCGGTTGTCGTGGTTCTCCTCCATGCACTGCCTGAGGGTCGGGGTGTTGAATTTGCCGGGACCCATCTGCCATTTGGTTTTGGGTGCGCCCTATTCGCCTATCATATCCCGTTGGCCCCACCTTCCGGCTAATGCGACACGCAAAACCGTCGAAAGTAACATAGAGGTGGGAATCGACAGTCACATTCTCGACTTGTAGTTCCCATATAGTCATACTCCAACATGGTTCCACGTTAAGGTAGGTCTGTTTGTCCAGTCATGACACACGATTCTGCGCAAGTACGAGTGGTCGTGGTAGCAGGTGGTAGCAACGATGCGTTATGATGCGTTCTTGTGGAAATGATTGAAGGCCTGGGGTCCCGGAATCGGTGTTTGGATTGCCCTGTTAAGGATCCTTCCTGTAGCAAGTTCTTTTGACTGTGGTATCGAGGAAACAAGAACCCCTTACTACAGGAAGGCCATATATTCAACTTATGGCCCTCTGCAGAAAAGACTCCTTGTTCCAAGTTTGGGGGTGCTGCCTGCTGCAGATGCAAACCCTGGTGCTGTCCTAGACCGGGAACCGACAGAAGAATCGCCCCTTACACCCTCAACCCGCCCTAAACCCCAAACCCCAAACCCTAAACCCTAAATCCTAAACCCTGAACCCTAAACCCTAAACCCAAGCCCGTCAACCTCATCTACCAGGAGGCAGCCTTGATGAACTTCCTCCCGGATCAGCTCAAAAGCCAAATAAGGCGATCTCAGGTGGGACCTTTGGGTTCTTTGTGATCTATGTGGGACTTTCCGAAAATTTGGGTACCTTATTTTGGGGTCCTTATAGTAAGGATCCTATTATTTAGGGTACTATATTAGGGTCCCCCATTTTCGGAAACCCCTATGTGGGTTCGGATTCGCTTAACACTTCAGGGTTTGGGGTCCAGAGTTCGGGGTTTAGGATTTCGCTGTCTGAGGGTTTGGGAGCGTATAGGGATCGAGGATTGAACCTAGACCGAAGCCACAGCTACGACCCCGCCGGATTGTTGCGACCTTTAACACTTAAAGCAAAGGATGTGTCTGTATTTCGTGTCTGATCATGCTGTTGCTCACATCGTTTGATAATTTATCATAGATCTTCGGTGCTGGTTTCTGTCAGTCGTACAGTTCTTTTGATTCTGGTCCTGATGCTAAGGTTGATGCTGATGCTGAGGCTGTCGCTGTCGATGATCATGGTTGGGATAGTGATGACGATGATATGATGATGTCATAGATAATTATTTGATATTTCTTGCCGCCCCCGTTCCCCTGTGAAGTCGCGGCCAGGTGAAGATGTACCTGGAGAGGATACCCTTGATGCGAGAGCTGGAGAGGGATAGCAACTCGAAGGGGTTCTGGATCGGAAAGTGGCGGGTTGTGCGACGATTTCCTCGTTTTCGTATGATTACACCAGGGCTTTGGGATATATGAGATTATGTTTATGATAGAAATCATAAGGATTAGTATTACAGCTCACTTTGTCCTTGGGGCCATCAACTGCATAAAAAAGGGTTCAGATTTTAATTACTTATATCGCCTCATAGAATGATGGACCCCAGCCCTTTTCTAGTTGTGAGGCACCTGCAACTGTAACATGCCGTCGCGCAGTCATGTGCCTTGTCTTGAGAACTCCATCCTGACAACCATGCCGCTTCATGCTGGTTTTTTGGGCTCTAAACTTTCTAAACCCGAAACCCTAAACCCTCTATGTCCCGAAACCCGAGGTCCTTAGGCCCTCCCAGCCCAAATTCGTAAGACGGACCCCTCAGCGTAAACCGAAAGCCATACACCGGACTGCCCAAGCCCTGCGCTCCAACTTCTCGGGCTGCTGAGACAACCCGAAGCCCTCTACTTCATGCCTCAAGCCCTACTTGGAAGTTCATGGGTAGTTATAAGTGGGGTTATAAGTCCCCTAATATGGGTTGTAACTATAGCTACCTTACTTCTAACTCCCACATATAAGTACCCATGAACCTCCAAGTAAGCCCTTCAGATAGACGGCTAAGTAGTTCACAAGACTGTTCCCTAGGCTTCCTTCTTGAATTTATACTACACCCCTAAACCCTACTTAATTATTGAGGCCCCATGTTCCCCTTTTCAGTGGCCCTTGTTGTAACCCTTGATGAGCCCTCAAGCAACCCCTGGGCATCCGAGGCATCGAGAAGATTACCGACGCAGCAGAGACTTTTGACCTCATGCAGGGGGATGCGGTCTCCACCGCAGGCTCGCATCATACCGGGGAGGGTTTAGGCTGGCGGCTTTAAGAGGTTAGGCTTTTTCAGCCTACGCCCTCAACCCGAAACCCTAAACCCTAAACATGGGCTGTAGGGTCCGGGGAATTTGGGGTTTGGGATGTCAGGGCTTGTGGATATGAGGGCTTTGCGGTCGCGTTTCAGGAGATTCGGACTTCAAGTCACGATCAAGGCGAGTTTTCGAAGCAGTTGCTTTTTTTCCGCGAAGTCATACGGCAAAGGGATACCACCCAAGTTATTTCCAGAGATATGATCTCCCTCCATCACGGTGCAACTGTGAGCCGGTCATGGTTGGGGCAGAAGTCAGAGAGGGAGGGTGCCCGCGGCAGTTGCAATCGTGTCTGCCAAGCCTTTCTCGCCGATATGCCCGAAACCGGAAACCTTCCAACCTAAAACTCTAAACTCTAAACCCTCGACCCGAAGCACTACTCCCCAAACCCTGCTTTGGGATACTAACGCCGTACAGCCAATGACGGTTAAGAGTAGCCACAGGCAGCCATATGGCAGCAAGAACAGGAACATCCACCCTTCAACCGATGGCAAGCTCCGACCGATACTATAGTGTATTATAGTATACTCTAGTGACTATAGTATATTATGGTCCATGTTAAGTGATAGCATATCATGCTGTAGTATATCATAGTATACCCGAGGGACCGTGGCGGACGCGGCTTGGGTGCTGGTGTCCGGGCGCCTCCGGGTCACGAAGGTCTTGGTGGGGGCGTGCCTCAGCGGACGGTCGAGGTGACAGCAAGCCCTCAAGAGAGTGTGCTGCTGCTAGTGATGCCTGCTGCCTGCTGCTGCTTCTTGTGCTGCTGCCCCTGGCACTAGTACTGCCACGACGCAATGCAGCATTGCAACGGAGGGAATCATCCTGTGAGACGCTTCTGTCATTAGTTTCGTCATGATGATGATCATCATCATCACCATCACCATCATCATCATTATCATCATCGTCATCATCATCATCATCATCATCGCCATCGTCATCATAGTCGTCATCACCATCATCGTCATCATCGTCATCGTCATCATCGTCGCCACCACCATCACCACCATCATCACCATCATCACCACCATCACCATCACCACCAATCACCATCACCACCATCACCATTACCACCATTACCATGACCACCTTCATCATCAATACCATCATCATCATATCATTGTCATCGTCATCCTCGTCGTCGTGTTCTTCTTCTTGTTCTTCTTTCTCTTCTTCACATCATCGTCATCGTCATCGACATCCTCATCGTCGTCTTCATCAACAGCAGGATCAGCATCAGCATCATCGTCATCGTCATCGTCATCCTCGTCGTCGTCATCATTATCATGATCATCTTCATCATCATTGTCATCATCATCATCAGCATTGAGATATGCGTCATCACCTTCGTTGGCATGGGCATATATACAATCCACCATTGTATACTGCTAACGCTCTTACATGTACATTCATGCTGGTGTTGGTAGATACAGCTTCTTTTGTATTTCTGATGCCTTGGAACTCAGACCCGATCGTCTGCGAACCTGAGGACGGACAGCGTGCTTACCAACGCCAGCATCGTTTCGCCGTTGGTTGTGGACGAGCATTGTCTTGAAGAAGACGGTCCTGTGCTTTCAAGGCGCCTCAGCGCAGACCCGCTTCATTGCCGATAAGAGCTTGCGACCAGTAGAGCGGATTTGACAAAGGTGTTGGTAATGTATCTGTGCGCACCGAATTATGCGGATGATCACGACGACGCAGAGGATGATGACGATGACTTTAGTTTTTGAGTTGTTATTGTTGTTGTTGTTGTTGTTGCCGCTGATGCTGCTGATGATAGGACAACAACACCGTCGCAGTGGCACTCACAACAGAAGGAAAATGACACTTCTATATACTTGGTCCATGTGCAGTCGTAATGCGAGCAGCAGCACCAGGACTGATGCTGCTTTTCCTCTGCTGCAACAACAGCTTTCCCTACTGCTAGTACAAGCAAACGTTACAGTAAGACGAACAGGAGGGAGCAGAGCATCGGTTTTAGAATTCTGCACTAGAGCCTTTTCGGCCAAACACAGAGGATTTAGGGTTTAGGAGAGTTTAGGGTTTAGAGTTATACAATAGCGATGCTTGATCTGTAGTTGTTGGCATGCAGGTGCACAACCTTGGCTGCTGAGAGTTCTGAGCTCATTCGGATTGGCAAACAACACTTTTTCCAGTCCATCTCCGTCAACCGAAGGCTGGTTAAAGATCACAGAGGGTTTCGGGTTTGGGGTTTGGAGTGTAGGGTTTAGGGTTTAGGGGTTTAGGGTGTTGGGATTTAGGGGGTTGGGGTTTAGGGGGCATTGCATCGTTAGCGATGGCTCGGAAGTTTGTCGATGCAGGGCTTCTGATGCTTTTTCCCCCTGCAGGAAGAGCCTGAACCTGCGCGGCGCGGCTCTCTATCAAGTAAACCATCACCAGTCGATGGGAAGCGCGGAACAAGTCTCGACACCATCAGGAAGAGGCAGACGCGGGCCGCTAGCCCAAAACAGAATCGGGTGTGACACATATGTATATGTATATATATATATATACACATACATATGTATATCCTTACACGCACATATGTATATGTATATGTGTTCGTACCTCTCTCTCTCTCTCTCTTTCTGTCTCTCTTTCTCTCTCTCTCTCTGTCTCTCTCTCTCTCTCTCTTTCTCTGAAGTGAAGATGCTTGATAAGAGCCCAGATAAAGAGCTGTGCATCTACTTTCTTCGGTTAGCGTTTTCCGTCAATCTGGCTGCATGCTTCTCAGGTCTACAATGACGGTCTCACACGCCGTTCATGCAACGGCTGCGGTCATCTCCTCCTCATGACTTCTAGCCTTTGGGCAGCTGATCCATGGAAACACGTTGCGTTAGGGACTATTCGTCCCGATGACACCGCGCCATTCGGAGCATCACAGCTCTTGCTTAACTATTTAGACAGTCTTTCGCCGTTGAAGTGGTCAGCTTATGCAGTTTGTTTCACTGGTTGCGAAGCACCAACGACCTTTCTCCGTCAAACAATGAACTGCTCAGCACATTTGAGGTTGCAGCACTTTTCTCACAGATTCTCAGATATGCCGGGCATCAGATAGCGAGGTGCCCCCTCTCCCTTTCGTTTTGCTTTCCGGAATCCGTAGAAGAGCCTTAAATCCCCGCCTAAGGCCTTTCGGCACAACGGACTTAACTCGAATGTGCTCCCTGTGACGTTTGCAGCGATGAACTCGCAGAACACAGAATTCCAACCCTGCCGGGGTAGCCGAGCCGTTGATACGGGATTGGGCTTTCGGGTCTTTCACAGTTACGTTTACACTGGAATTCGTTACTTTGGCTGCTCGTTAATAAGTACAATCTTACTTAATCTTGCAGCACGGGTTGGAGCCGCTGCTACTACTACTACTACTACTACTACTCCTGCTGCTGCTACTACTACTACTACGACGACGACGACGACTACTACTACTTCTACTACTTCGACTACGACGACTACGACGACGACGACGACGACGACTA